GCTCGTTGACCTCTTGGTCGTAATCAACTAGTTCGACGAGGACGGTGACCGGTGCTTGAGTTACCTAAAAGCACCTTTAGTGGATCGGGAGGATCCGAGATGACGTGTTTTGGGCGACGTCGACTGCTTTCCATTCTTTCCGCAGGATCGCGAATGTAGTTACCGGCGGCCACGATAAGAGGGTTCTCGTGTCGTGCCGCTTTATCGAAGTGGAAGAAACTTTACCTATCTGATCAAGGCGAAAGTGAAACGCAAAGCCGCCGTAATCTGAAACATGTCATGATCCCCCGGATCTATTCTGGGTGCTTTTAGGCCCCTCAAGCACCGGTCACCGTCCTCATCGAACTAGTCGATTAAGACCAAGAATTCAACGAGTGAACTAACCCATAGACACAGCCTACTGTCGCCGGATCTTCTCAGTAGGGCAAGATGCCAATGCGATGGTAGATGCTGCGAAACACTGCTCTTGCTACGACTAGTGTTAGCAAATTCTCTCAGGTTGAGCCCGTGAGTTCAGCTACTCGTCAAAGTGTAGTAAGAAAATTTCCATTAACTATAAAAAACGGCGCACCTGAGCATAGTAAACAAGCGAACACACAACCAGCTACTTTTTATATGCACAAGATTACAACACATGCGATACTGGAATCCTTGAATTCAAAATTCGGATTCTAAGTACGTTTTGTTTACAGCGAATTCAAAGTAATTAAGATTTTAATTGATTACACAAAGCTCTGTGGTCATTTCGGTTTATCGTTTTTTTTTTAGCGTAAGGGCTTAAGTGGAAATTAATCAATTAATCTTGCATCTTTTTACAATTACATTTTCAGTGGACAGAGAGTGCAATGGTAAGCATTTTTTTTTTCATTAGGTACCAACTTTTCTTGTGATGAGTTAGAAAATTGATCCAATCACGCCGCCGCCTAATCAAATGCTCAGTGGAAATTGTGCAATAGGGATCCTTTTAAAATTCTTGTCATGTTTTGACTAGTGAGAGGTCAAAGGAGTATGGTCAAAATGCTCCACGCCCTACGAAGATCAACGTTTTCGGCATTCCGCCATTCTGCAACGACTTTCACGATGTATTTTTTTTCTACCTTTTTTTATTAGCTGGCGGCTATAACCTCCTACAAGGTCCCCGTGACGAGGGGGCGAGCGCGTTAATTGATGCTGGACGGTTCCCAGATGTTGGTAGCGGACCGCGGATTCAAAGATGGTATTTAGGGCCCTATCCACTAAACGACTCCCCTGCTCTCTCGCCCAAGCGTCTGATCCCCCTCGAGGTTAGAACCGGGCGGAGTAAGGGCACCTCAAGGACGCCCAGCAGGCCGAGCCTTCGAAGAGCAACGAAACTTCTAGAACGTCGAGCGTCTCAGTACGGCAGCCCCTCAGGTCACCCAGGCGGTGACGTTCATGTGCCGGCTGGTAACCCGCGAGCTCAGAACCAAATTCCCGCCAACCGGTCGCTTTTATGTCATAAGTCTTGGGCGGCGCGCTGGAGTGGAATGGATAGGGCCCAGAACTTTTTTTTTAATTTTTTTTGTCGTTTCTGTTTTATCCAATGCTAAGTTAGTGCTCAGATTGTCTATTATTAGACTTATGAAGATTTATGTACTCGTAACTTATCTTCCGCTGTAAAATCTGCTCGCAATCCTTTTAAAAATGATTAAATCATGTTTATTTTCAGAATCCATCACAGAAATTAATTATTCTAACGGCATTATTAGCATTATACATTCAATACAATTGGAGCTATCCCATCAAATGCACAAGACGAAATGCTGATACAACACAATGCTCTTACTTGTTGACTTATCCACAATATTATTATCCAGCGTTCTATTATTTTTATCCATACAATTATTACCCATATTTTTATCCATATTACTATCCATTTTATGTTTACAATAATTCTACTGTATAGTAATTTTTCTATTTACTTTTTCTCGAATAAAATGTTCATTGCAATGATTTCAGAATTGCGTTTTGTATTTATTTATATAGTAATAAAGTAGTGAAGTTTGATTTGTTATTTTGTATAGGCGACCACAGCTATAGCAGCAGTAAACAGATTCATAATTATACAATTTTAGCTCAGATTAATATCTTATAGCTATCAAACTTTCCCGATTTTCGTTACCTACCTTAATCTACCATTTCCATTCCTAAAAAGCCAATTGGGAATCAATCTGCGTGAGCTCACGATATGGGCTCAAAAAGTGATACCGTATCAAAACTCAGGGCAGATTTGTATAATGAAGTAAATGTCAGGGATATTGCTAAAGGTCATTGTCGATGATGATCACTTAAGACTAAGTGAAATTGTAGTCTTTATCGTAAACTAATCTTAAATCTAAAATACGTTATGTCATAAACAGTCAATTGAATTATAAAGTTTACTAACTTCCACTATCTTAGTAACTAATTTACGGAGAATGGAAAGCATGAAATAACTTTGACTTTAACGCTGGGGCGCACTCAGAAACAAATTGGGGCGAATTATAAAACTTTAAGAAATTCTCGTGAAATGACTGGATGCTGTATATTTTAAGTGGCCTAAACAAGCAGATGTGAGCACGGCCTCCCTGAAGTTAAGTGGTTCTCAAGTCCAAAGATACCCACACCAAAGCAAATACTATCATTTAAAATATCGATGTAAAATATTAATGACAATGAAAAAATGACGATGCTTCAAACGGATACCTACGGATAGCTATGGAATTAGCGCCTTTAACAGCAACAGCTCAATCAAGTCGAAGCCACGTACACTCTGATAAGTAGCCGAGCAACTACCATCGCGTGGAAATTGAATGATGTCTAAAAGAATTGATTTGTAAGCCAGATATCATATGAATCCAATACTATTTCAGAAATATATTATTGATAAAGTTTTTAGATATGAATATGTTTGTAGCGGTTCTTTTATTTTGATATCCAATAAGTACCACTGCTCCATCAGGTAAGGTTGTATACGATTTCATAGACTACTAGTATTTATGCGGATAAAGAACGGAGTGCATATCAAGAGATCTACACTCAGCATTGGGTAGACTGGTGGTTGAGGAGATGCAGATAAAAGACTGCAAAAGTAAAATTTACGAAAAAATTGCAGCCACTCACATTATTGACAAACTCTAAATAATTTCTTCATCAAATTACTAATAGCCAAACGTAAACTATTAATTTTCAAATCTAGAAATTTGTTTTTTTTTTCGGGTAAATACGTCCCTGTAATGTGACTGTTGCAGACTCGCGGTTGATTAACTTCGCCAACCAAGAATTGTAGAAGTAGTATTTCTTTGGGAGTTTATTTTTTAATTTCAAAATTCCTATTACAAAAATATTTTACAAAACTATACGTAGGTATTACGTATGTTAAAATCTATCATTTAGACAGCTGGTGTTGTTTTTTCCCTACTACAAGCTTCAAATCTATAACTTTTTTTCTTCTTTTTTTTCACTATGGCAATCGATTTCTTTTTTTTTTCAATTATTTGATGCCTTGGATTTTTGTTCTTTAGTCTTCATTTATTATTTATTATAGATATACCTTGCTTTATGACAATGAGTTCGCGAATATGACAAAGTCGCGATCATGAACAACCTCAAATCAATTTTATTGATCATAGACTCGTTTACTCGACTCGTTAATGTAAATAAAATTAAGGGTTTAAAAAAATGTTTTTTATTGTTATAAATAATACAAAATAACTTTATAAAAACATAATATTTATTTAAACATACATAACGTGTATATAAAACTATCTTTCGATCAGAACAAGGACAAATGTACTACATATGAGACTGTACAAAAATAAACTTTCACCGCAACAGGTTAGAGTCGAATTTGCAAAAAATATATTTTTAAAGACAAAAGAATGCTTAATTTGAGCTTTAAAGCTAAAAGTATGTTCGCGTTAGATCATTGTATGCTTTTTTATTCCAATATAAGAATTGTGTGCTTAGCGTAAACGTAGCTCAATAGCGTAAAAGTTATCTGAAATTTGTATGGAGTTGGAACGTTTGCCTACGTTTGCCGCTAGGGGCGCTGTTCCAACTGCATATAAATTTGAGTTAACTTTTACGCTATCGAGAACGTTAAAAAACTCGCACTAAGCACACTGGTATATTTTTGACGAGAAGATGTTGTATACCCATGTGATGATGACTTTTTATTATTCTTTAAAAGTCGGGTGAATGATCTCACGGTCCACCTGGTTTTAATTGGTTACCGGGACCCATAGACATCAACAACATCATCATCACCCACCTCGAGACACGAGTTCCAAATCTCAGTTTTTGTTTTACAACCGCTGTTCCACCCTTGAAGACAGCAGCCTCGACTGTTGCGCAGAGGGTCGTGGGTTCGATTCCCGCATCGGGCAAACATTGTGTTATGAACAGGCTTGATTGCTCTGGTTAATTATTACCTATGTATTACTACGTAGTATAAAACAAAGTCGCTTTCTCTGTCCCTATATCCCTATGTATGGTTAAATCTTTAAAACTGCGCAACGGATTTTGATGCGGTTTTTTTTAATAGATAGAGTGATTGAAGAGGAAGGTTTATATGTATAATAACATCCATTAAATAGTGGAGAAATCTATAATAAATTACAGTTTTCGGATCGAAGCGAGGGCGGGTCGCTAGTAATTATATATATTCTTCCTATTCGTACACTCTGCTCTCGCGATGTGACGCCATGTGGCACGATACTTCGCAAAGTGAGAGCAATCGTTTCACTTGGAATCACACGTTGGAATGAGTCACAGATTTTATGAGGTCAGTCCATCGTGTTGCACCACCAACCGCTCAACGGAGTCCTCATTACGAGTGATGTGCCCGAAGAACTTGAGGATTCGTATTTGGACTTTTTTTTATGATTGGAAGATTACTGGTGGCCCGAAGGCCTTTCCAGTTTCACCAGGACAGGTGGGCGAGCAAATGCTCAGCCAGGAGGGGTGGGATTTGCTAACAGCTACCCGAGCGCCTCCGAGGGAGACCTAACAACTCAAGAGCAATTGCTTCGCGAATGAATCTACTACCGGATCGGAGTCGCGACCCGCTGAGAAGATCCGGCGAGAAACTCAGCGGGCTGGTGCATGGGTTAGGGTGCGGGATCCACGGAATTCTGAGGAGAGGTATTTAAATATATACAAGTATGTATGTATATCAGTTTCTGGTACCCATAACACAGGGAATCCTAATTTGGGTCCGAATGACCGTGCGTGATCCCTTTCCAGTTATTCATTCTATAATTAAACCGAAATGTTGCTTTGCCACATTAATATACCAGTTCCTATATTGGGCTGTGCTGCCTTGAGTTCTGATGGTCCCGGATGGATTTATAAAGCTTACGACTACAAGAATTTAACACCGCCGATAATGTTGACCGGCCTGCCCTTGTACTTCTTCGATATGTCGCTTTCGATCTGAAAATAGGAAACGGAAATTCATATTATGACAAAACAAAATTGCGCACTTTATCCATAATCAGCGTTAAAACTCATAGACAACGCACGCTTAGTTCTAATGGAAATAAATAAAAGACGTATTTTGAACATGTTCACGTATGACTTCTTAAAGAGATTAGAGTGATAATATAAATAATAGGAGAGGCGTACCTATTGGAAGCATTGACGGCAAATAATTTACTATATTGAAAGCTGATGGGTGGACGAGCTCACAGCCCACCTGGTGTTAAGTGGTTACTGGAGCCCATAGACATACACAACGTAAATGCGCCACCCACCTTGAGATATAAGTTCCAAGATCTCAAGTATAGTTACATCGGCTGCCCCGCCCTTCATACCGAAACGGGTTACTGCTTCAGGGCAGAAATAGGCAGGGTGATGGTACCCACCCGCGCGGTCTCACAAGAGGTCTTACCGCCAGTAATTACGCAAATTATAATTTTGCGGGTTTGACTTTTTTATTACACGATGTTATTCCTTCACCGTGGAAGTCAATCGTGAACAGTTGTTGAGTACGTATTTCATTTACATCGGCCTTGGGCAGTCCGTTCTAGCTCCCACGTCATGCCGAAGACGCCTAGCTCCTGCTCCAACGAGCGAAATTCTACTATGCTATATGAGAAAATTTAGTGTGGGCGTATCTAATTCGAGAAATTTAACAAGAATATATTAAAACAAAATTCCCGTTAGACTTACCTGCGCTTGCAACTGTTTAGTTCTCTCTATGATTTTAGAGAGCACCGGCCTTAGTTCGGCGGCGCGAACGTTCGCCGCCGTTCGCTGTTCGGCCGCTCGCGCCGCCAGCTTCGACAGCTTCTCGCACAGTACCAGCTTCTGCTTTAGCTGAGCCGTCAGCACGTCCACGTACCTGTACGATATATATATATTCATTGGCACTGGAGCCAAACGCCAGTTGACATCGGCTCAGATCTCAACAACGCTTAGACTTCTTCAAACGAGGCCTGTGGAGAGTACTTAACGGTAGGCAGCGGCTTGGCTCTGCCCCTGGTATTGCTGAGTCTATGGGCGACGGTAACCACTCACCATCAAGTGGGCCGTATGCTCGTCTGCCTACAAGCGTAATAAACAAAAAAGAAAAAAAGACTAGAACCGGGTTTTTTATTGGTGGTAGGACCTCTTGTAAGTCCGCACGGGTAGGTACCACCACCCCGCCTATTTCTGCCGTGAAGCAGTAATGCGTTTCGACTTGAAGGGTGGGGCAGCCGTTGTAACTATACTGTGATACCTTAGAACTTATATGTCAAGGTAGGTGATGCATTTACGTTGTAAATGTCTATGGGCTCCAGTAACCTCTTATTAAGAGGTTGTTGTTAAACATCGGGTGGGCTGTGAGCTCGTTCACCCATGTAAGGAATTATACACCCCCATGCACCCCACGCTTTTTTTACAATAACATATTTTTCCTACATTAATTTTAATTGAAATTTATTAAAATTTATTTTTATTTTTAGTTGGATTTTCTATAAAAGCGTATTTTGTTAGTTTTTTTAAACTATTATTTATTTTTCATTTTTTAGTTGAATTTCAACTTTTTTATTATTTTTTTAAATATTGAATTGTCATCGGTCCTTAATAACTATACCAAATTTTGAGTTCATCTGACGTTATGAAGGGGGTCAAAATCATGTTCAAAGATTCCGTTACAAACATACAACATACATTCAAACATACGTCTAAAGCTAATTAAAATGTATTAAAAAAAAGTAAAAAGGTGTGTGTGTGTGTGGGTGCAAGTCACACACGGTGGAAGTGAAAATTAAAAAAAATTAAAATAATCGCAAGAGTCAACCACTCCGCAGTAGGGATGTAAGCCGGTTCGAAGAAAACCGGAGAAAAACCGGTTTTTATACATACCGATAAACACCGGTTTTTATTTAAGAATACCGGTTTTTAATTATGTGTTACATTACACAGTTCATACCAGTGCTACCAGATCAAATATACAAGCTACCTAAAAAAAACTGTGTTTCAGACTCAAATTACCGTGCATTACATTGACAAAACAGTACATTACATTATTCCGAACGCCACGGTGGCCGCAGTGAGTATAGTGCGAATGTATATTGAGACTGAAGCCGCCATAGGAAACCACACTGAAATTGCTGGCACTTTTTGGATGAGCAATAGTCATTTAAGGCCTTTAAACAAAATAGCATTTAAATACCTATCAGTCCCAGCAACTTCTGTGCCTTCCGAACGTTTGTTTTCGACGTCGGGGTACGTGCTAACATCCAGTAGGAGCAGGCTTCTGGATGACGCAGTGGACCAACTATGCTTCTTGCATCACAATTTCGATTTAATACAATAGTATTAGATCAAAAATAAAAAGCTTTTTATTATTGGATAATATAAATATGATCGTTAAAAGCCCATATAAAATATGCTCACCTAATTAATTGTATGACGAAAACTTCGTTTGCACATAAATTTCCAGCCTTTATGGAAAAAACCTAAAAATACCTAAAAAAACCGGTTTTTTTGAGAAAAAACCGGTAATAAACCGGAGCCAGAAATTGTAATCGGTTCACATCACTACTCCGCAGTGCAATGGAGCAGCCTCATCCTGCGGTAACCGCTTGCATAATCACGGTATCCCTACGCAAGGTAAGTGTGATTTAGCAAGAGAAATACGAAAACGTCTATCAAATGTGTAACATCTCGTCACCGCGATTCAGGAATTGTTGAATTTACGTTCAGCGACATCTGTTGATAAAAAACTAAATAGAAATAAAATAAACATGGCGCGTAACGGAAGAAATTAAGATGGCGCGTAACCGAAAAATGTTACATACGTTTTTTCCTCCCTACGTTGATAAAGAAGTTTCACTTCAACGAGTCTCCTGATCGTTGTTTATAGGTTGTTAGAAGGGCTGACCTGGGCGAGTGCTTGACGTTGTGCAGGTGCGCGAGGTCGGGCGCGGCGAGGGCGGCGGCGGCGCGCTGCACGGCGCCCAGCATGCCCCGCAGAGCGGGCTCGCTCTCCGCCGGCAGCTGCTGCAGCAGCGACAGCGTGTGGGACTCCGCCGCACTCGTCGTCTCGTACACGCGCATCTTCAGGAACGACTCGAGCTGGGAAACATTCGAATTTATTTATTGCTTAGACCGGTGGACGAGCTCACAGCCCACCTGGTGTTAAGTGGTTACTGGAGCGCATAGACATCCACAGCGTAAATGCGCCACCCACTTTGAGATACAAGTTCTGAGGTCTCAAGTATAGTTACAAAGGCTGCCCCACACTTCAAACCGAAACGCATTACTGCTTCACGGCAGAAATAGGCAGGTTGGTGGTACCCACCCACGCGGACTCACAAGAGGTCCTACCACCAGTAAAAATGCACGCTATTTCAATATACATAAATATACATATACATATCTTAAGTTATCTTATGCTATATATATAAAACATATGTATACAGTGTTGAAACAGCTGAACTTTGCGCTTCTGTATGTTTGATTATTATAGACGGCACCCGTTCGTTTTAAAATGGAGTGACGTCATCAGTGGTGACGTCACAACTCTCACTGAGATGGTGGAACGAAATTTAAATCCTGAATGTCAAATTTATAGTATAGAAACTTAGTGTCTTTTACACAAAATGAATGAATTTGTACACGGAAGTAAATTTAGATTCGGAACAAAAATATTTGAAACCCCCTCCCATTCGCAACGCAACTTTGTATATATAAATTCAGTAGTTTTATTTTCTCGAACGTAAGCTGCATATGCTGCATTTTATGAGTACTGCAAAGTTACATTAAGCCATTTTGGCAACTAGAATTTGTGGTCAGTAAGCTTGTGTTACCTCAACGAGTTGATCGATGAACTGGTTCCTTGTAGAGGGGTTGTCCAATAACGTCAGAGCATCTTTGCCCCTCGCAACTCCACCGGTCATCCCTTGCTCCTCTATTACTATCCCCGCCCCTTCCAAAGACACAGCTTCTATATCAGCCAAAAGACTCTGTAAAGAGAAGTTCATTGAAGCGTAACTTCTTGAGACCACACAGTGGTTTATTATTGGAACTCTAAAACGCAAAGGTTGTAATATTTTTAGTCATAATAGCAGTCGCCTTAGGACTGTGGTCCAATCACAATCACTAGTGGTCCCGCAGTAGTCGAAATTCGACTATAATTAATTGAAATTATAAGTTTCAACATTATTATGGTTCTATTGTTACAGATTTCGCCAAGACTACACTATAGACAAATACTCGTAATATTAAAGATAAACAATACTAACCTATTCTCAATTTGACTACAAACTTTAAGCAATAACAAAAGTTTGACAATGAACAAAGAGTGTATGTGTGTGTGTCAAATACATGGTAGTGTGTGTAATGTTTTCTTTATTGATTTAATGTATTTTTAATCCATGATTTTTAAAAAATATTAGCATTCTGCACTTCTTCTCTATATTTTCTATAAGTGTGGAAAATTTCATACATCTCCGTCCGCGCAATTTTTGTGAAAAGGGGTACAAAGTTTTTGCTTCACATATTTCACAATCATAATGGATAATCATTCTGACAGCCATTCCCTATATTTAAATCAAGACTATTACTACGCAACAAAAATTGGATTGCACAAACCTGTTTAATCACAAAACAATCTCCTGCAATTTCCATTCACTTATCACTGAATGAACTGTCTATACCACAAAAAACACTTACATTTTCATCGGCTGAAGCAATATCGATATTGCCCCAGTCTATTTCAGCAGCTCCATCCCCATCTCCGAAGTCAATCCCTGCGCCTGAAGCGTCGATAGAAGAAAAATCTATATCATTGTTGTCCCCAAAATCTATCTGAAAAATATTTATAAACTGAATGTATCTTGACTTATGAAACTTTGTTAAGGTGTTTTTTTTTTTTATTGCTTAGATTGGTGGAAGAACTCACAGCCCACCTGGTGTTACTGGAACCCATAGACATCAACAACGTAAATGCGCTACCCACCTTGAGATATAAGTTCTAAGGTCTCAAGTATAGTTACAACGGCTGCCCCACCTTCCAAGCCGAAACGCATTACTGCTTCATGGCAGAAATAGGCATCAACTACTAAATTTCTAACTACTAAATGTCAAACTATTAAACTCTGTTGTTTTGTTACCTATTTCATCATGGAATAGTGTTATGAAGGTATCTTATCTAGTGTATACAGAAATAAAATTGTATTTCTCTAGAATAGTAAGTCATTTTAATTGCTGAAAGCTGTGTAGTGTATAATTAAAACAGGTAAAAAAAAGGATGCGTGTACTTATGTACGCGCGTAAGAAGTTATACTTTATTTTTATTAAATTTGTTTCTTTTTTTATTTAAGTTATAATCAATTTGAAAAAAAATCGATTAAACAACATCCTCAAACACGCATATTGGACATCCCTTTTCTTGACATCGTATAAATTCGGTAATTCTCGGTACGGTTCGGAAAGTTCACCTGCGGCTATATTCAGACTCGCCAAGTTACGTCGGTCGTATTGTAATGAGCGATTTAGTGGGCAACTTCATTTCTGTTAATTTTGTATCACGGTGCGCGCGCATCGTAAAATTTCACTCTCATCAATTTTTCATAACGCGCCTAAAGAAGTATAACTCCAAAAAGTTTTTTACCTTTTTAATTTTAATAAAATACTAGCTTTTACTTGTAGTACAGGTTAATGGAAAAAATCTAAATCTTTCTCTATTCTTGGCAATGGCTTTTCATGATATTCAGTTAAGTTGTAAAAAGATCACTAAGAAGTTAATTTTCGGCTTTATTAAAGGAATAATATTATTTGGAGCCCACAAGAATGTGAATAAAGAAAATTCTAGAGCAATACTGAGAAAAGATCTACTAAACAGATGTGTTTGACAATCCCTACTGCCTTAAACAGCTTAAGCTAAACAAAACTTTTCTCACCTGATCTCCAGAAGCCTGTTCTTCGTCATCATCTAATTCGATATGTATAGGATCTGGCTCCAAGCTCAAAGGAGGTTCTCCGTAACTCCATTCATACACTGTAGTATTGCCGTGAATAATCACATATTGCAAAATTGGTAAAGCTTCTGGAGAATCCTCACCGAGGATATACTTTGTGAATGCATTGTATAACTCTATACCTGGCTGGAGTGGTTTTAGTGATTTCCCTATCTGAAACAAAAGCCTAATTTTAACTAATTAATGAAATGTATAGCATAGCATATAGGTTCACGGGGATCTGCTGGATGCAAGCAGTGCAGGACCGATCTTTGTGGTGAGGATTGGGGTAGGCCTATGTCCAGCAGTGGAAGTCTGTGGGCTGATAGAATAGAATACCATAGCATCAAATATTAACTTAAGTGGAAAACAGCAATTTGTGCATTTTTGTGAAGAATGTGTACTATGTTACCATAGATATTAATCATGAATGACAATAAAACAGGAAAAACATATGCAAAATTACTTAGTTTTTTAATATACTTAATAATATCTCACTTGGTCATATATCTCAGGGAGCTCCTGAAGTTTCGCCACTAATTCTCTCTTGATCTTCTCACCTTGGATACCAAGTTGTTTACACAAAGCCAGAAACTCTGATTTACTTGATGCTTCATTCTTTAGATAGTCTGCATGCTTCTTTTCAAAATCCTGCAACAAATGTATTTGAAGAATCATTACTGTTACGGTTGCTAGAATTATTTCTTAACAACTATTATTATTGAGTAAATTATTAATTATTAATCACTTTATAATATCCCAAAAGTTCAAAAAGAGTTCAAACCTGGGTCATTCCATGAGGAACCCAAGCCAAAACAGTAACTAAATGGAATATTTATTTATTTATTTATTCAACTTAATGCACATAAGTACAATGGCGGACTTAATGCCTGAGGCATTCTCTACCAGACAACCAAGGGTGGTGTAGAGAATCCTGTGGTAGGTGCATAACTTAATGTGATACAACCAAACTACATTATACAATATACAAACACATACACGGTATATATATATATATATAATCACACAAACAACGTACACAATTTTATATCATGATAATAATATAAAATTTACACATATATCTATATATAATCTCTATCATATACTCACATATTCACATACATATTCATATACACACTTAAACACAACTTAAAAATATAACAAAGAAATAGAATATCTCATCTTCTATGTCATTGCATCATACAGAATGTACAATGTCTAAAACTCGTGTCTTGTATCTAGATTTCGGAAGCCTCCAAATGTAAGTCAATGGTCACCTTCGCAATTTGCAACCCTCAAAAATTCTTCACTATTATACTAATACTACATCATATTAGGTTATTACTTTTGTGAATTCATAATTTTTATTTAATTTTAATGATGTTTTTGTTTGTTTAGCTTAACATAAGTCACGTATAAATGCTTTTTAACCTCAAACATTGCATATGAGTCGACTATTATCAAAGCCGGCAATGTGACTTTTGGACAATTATTGGTAAATCAGAAAAACGAATTATTGACTTTGTATTCCATTGGCAGTCACAAAACTTTTCTGAACGACATAAATAACAGGTTAAGTATTAACCTTTATTTAATGCAGGTTTTGAACCGTATTCTTTGAAGGAGACGATTATATTCAAATCAATCTGTATTGACATATCAATAACATTTTTTTGTCCAAATGCATAGAAGGCCACCATTGATAATAGACGACTCATATAAAGGTGAACAAAATCTCGGCCATACCATGTTTAGCAGTTTTTTTTTTAATTATTGATAATTAATTACCATGGCTGCCCCACCCTTTGTAACTATACTGAGACCTTATAACTTATATCTCAAGGTGGGTGGCGCATTTACGTTGTAGATGTATATGGGCTCCAGTAACCACTTAACACCAAGTGGGCTGTGAGCTCGTCCACCCATCTAAGCAATAAAAAAAAAACCCTTCAAACCAAATCTTATTACTGCTTCACGGCAGAAATAGGTAGGGTGTTAGTGCCTACCCATGCGAACTCGCAAGAAGTCCTACCACCAGCAAGAAAGTTACCAGAGCCCACAGAGATCACAGCATGATTGTCTCCACTAACCTTGAACTTCAGGTCTATTATCTCAATATGTATAGTAACTATGAAAATTACACTACTCTTCATTAGCTAGTGTGTGCCATAAATTAATATACATGAATTCGACTAAAAGCTAAAAAATGCTTTCCTCATTTTACAAGGTAGTTTAGCTTTACAAATCTACTCTGTCTGCCATTGTAGTGGTGTGGGGAAAAAAACTTTACGGTCAACTCAATCATGTCTGAATCTGTATATAAATAAAATAATCTGAGCTTACCGCTTGTGCCTGTTCCTCTTTGGCAATCTGCCTCTTCAACCCTGGAATCTCATAACTAATATTCCTGACCAGCATCTGTGCTGCCTCTGCTAAATACAAGTTCTCCTTCTCATAGTTCCTCACAACATCCTGCCAGTCCTTCATCCTCTGTGACCCGTATCTCCCGAACAAATTTTTAGTATCAGCCTCAGTTTCTTTTAGTATTTCAATGATTTTTAAGCAGTGGAAATAATTTATGTAGCTGCCTGAGAGTAAAGCAGCTATGTCTTGGTGAGCCGGCATGTCTTGGATGGCATTGTTGATCTTCTCTCTCACAGCTATGACATTCTTCTGCCAATCTTTAGAGACGTGCCTACGACTGATCAACCAGTCTTGAAGCTTTCCTATGTTTATATCGATGGGGATGTTGCTTTCCTAATAATTGATGATTCTATTAATGATATGAAAACATGTACGGTATTTCAACCTTTACACTATATTAATACTTACATCCATGTTAGTTGAATTGAATAAGGCCTTAAATTTTGATACAAAACACACAAACAATCATCAGCTGTTTCCAATTTGAGACGGCTGCCACATTTAACTTGACGTCATTGACGTGTCAACATAGCGTGTCAAACCATCCTACTCTAGAAGTAATAGTGTTCTGTGATCCTACTCCAGTGTGTCAAACACATAGACCTATGGCTCTGTAAATTGGGCCCCCTTTTTTGATTTTCGGATTTTTTTCATTTTTAATTATTTGTTCGTCTTTTGTTTATTTATAATTAATTAATTAAATAAATTATCGCCGTTATCGCCCCCTTTACTAGATATCTTTATTTTTATCGCTCAGATTAATTCGTTTTGATCAATTATCGTTTGTTCGACGACTATTGGTGATTGTTCGATCATAAAAATAATTAAATTCCCAATTATTAATTATTTTATATTAATGTAATACCGAAATACTTCACGAGATGGCGTTACAAAAAATCCCTTCCCAAAACTATAAAACCGTTGTGATTGTCTACTGAGTAAATAATATTTATTCGTATAATAAATAATATTTATTCGTAGGTGATTGTTTAAGATGTTATGAATATTTCAGTTTTGATTTCATCAAAATAACTTGAACTTTACTACTGAATTCCGAAAAAAATTCTAATTAAGGCTGAGTTAAGTTCAGCTTTTTATTTAAGCCTCTTACTGTAGTTTTCATAATCTCTATGATATAAATTATATAAAGGTATTAAAATAAACCCTATTTAGTCAAAACATAATATAAAGTTAAAGTGCAAGCGGCTGGAGCTAGCGGCTGGTGCAAGCGCCTGCTGCAAGTTGCTGGAGCTAGCGGTTGGTGCAAGCGGCTGGAGCTAGCGGCTGGTGCAAGCGGCTGGTACTAAATGCTGGCGCTAACGGCTGGGGCTTGTTGCTAGAGCTAGCGGCTGGTGCTATTTGCTGGTGCAAGCGGCTGGTGTAAGCGGCTGGTGCAAGCGGCTGGAGCTAGTTGCTGGAGCTAGCGGTTGGTGCTAGCGGCTGGAGCTAGCGGCTGGAGCTGGCGGCTGGTGCAAGCGGCTGGTGCAAGCGGCTGGTGCAAGCGGCTGGTGCAAGTGGCTGGTGAAAGCGGCTGGAGCTAGCGGCTGGTGCAAGCGGCTAGTGCAAGCGGTTGGTGCAGGCGGCTGGAGCTAGCGGCTGGTGCAAGCGGCTGGAGCTAGTTGCTGGAGCTAGCGGTTGGTGCTAGCAGCTGGAGCTAGCGGCTGGAGCTAGCGGCTGGAGCTAGCGGCTGGTGCAAGCGGCTGGAGCTAGCCGCTGGTACTAAATCATAAAAATAAAGGTAAAAA